AAAATCCGAGTTTTCATGTAGTAGCTTTTGAGATTTATCTGACATGACTTTCTCATGGAAGAGTATTGCTGATGAAGATACTCTTGCATTTTGGTCGCTAAATGAATCAAACAACAGTAGTAAACGGTTTTGATGAGTACAACTGTAGTTGGATGAAAGATAAAATGTTCTGACAAGACAAAACTTATTTGCTTCAACAAACGTCATCTCATCTTGACAACTTCAGCCTACTCGTGCATTCTGGTCGCTATATGAATCAAACAACAGTAGTAAACGGTTTTGATGAGTACAACTGTAGTTGGATGAAAGATAAAATGTTCTGACAAGACAAAACTTATTTGCTTCAACAAACGTCATCTCATCTTGACAACTCCAGCCTACTCGTGCATTTTGGTCGCTAAATGAATCAACCAACAGTAGTAAACGGTTTCAATGAGTACAACTGTAATTGGATGAAAGATAAAATGTTCTGACAAGACAAAACTTATTTACTTCAACAAACGTCATCTCATCTTGACAACTCCAGCTATGGTACCGAGGGTGCAAATAAAAACAGACCCGACAACACTTTCCCTTATTTTTAATTGTCGCAGTCAACTAGACCAAGTCCATGGTGCATAACGTGAAGACGAGGGCGAGGCAAGGGCTTCGTGAATATGTCTGCCAGTTGCTGTTCAGTGCTGATATGTTCGACGGTCAGCATTCCATTCTTGACTCGGTCTCTGATAAATAGATACTTTCGCTGAATATGCTTAGTACGGAAGTGAAATTCAGGATTTTCGGCTAATCTCTTGTCTGATTCATTGTCTATACGGAGAACAGGGGTCGCAGACAACCTTGTCAACTCTTCAAATAGGCGAGAGATCCAAATAGTCTCTTTCGACCCGAGGTTAGCCGCAATAATCTCTGCTTCGCACGTAGAGTCACTAACCACTTCTTGACGACGACTCAACCAAGTGATGGCTGCATCAGCAAACTTGACGACTACTCCACTAGTGGAGCGCATTGTGTCTGGACAGCCAGCAAAATCAACGTCGCTGTAGCATTCCAGAAGATGCGTCTTTGGGTTGGAGCGATATATTAACTTCAAGTTAATGGTTCCCGCAAGGTTGCGGATTACGCGTTTCACTCGTATCACATCATCAGCTGTAGGTTTTTCCAGCCGACGTGACAAAACGCTCACACGCTGAAAGCAATATCGGAACGAGGCCACGGGCCACGTAAAGTAGAGCACCAACAGCCGAACGGTAAGGAAAATTCAGTACTTTCCCTGGCTTGTTAGCGTTGAGTTTCTCCATAGGAGTTAGAACTGGATTGCATTCTTCCATGTTGAAACGATCGAGAATCTTTCTGATGAATGCCGATTGACTGATTACGATGTCATCACCATTCCTTTCGATATCAAGTCCAAGGAAATATGATACCTCTTTGGCTACAATCTTGAATCGTGATCGCAGCTGTTCGATGAATGAGTCTAATTCGAAATGACTCGTCGCTGCAACCAAACCATCATCAACGATGATTTTTCCAGTTGGTTTTTCGCGAATACAAACACATGGATCTTCGAGACTGCTCTGAAACTCCAAATTTATCATGAAGTTGTCGAATGCTTCAGTCCATACAGGCTTCGTTTGAGACGACAAACTCGACTAGTTCTATCAGAATACCCCTCAGGCTGCTTCATAAAGATTTCCTCATCCACATCACCATCCAAAATACCGTGGAGACATCGAATTGCCTGAGAACCATGTTCTTCACGGCTATAATAGACAGTAGAGGAACTGTACTGAACTGTATACTGGACTGAAAGTGTCTGCCTAGTCTATCCCGGGTCGTTGAGCGCATCCTTTGATGACCAATCTTGCGCGATACTAGTCAGTGCTTCCGTCAGGATAGCCAACAACCTAACAACAAGGAGATAGCCACAATGCTCAAAGTGGAATGAAATGTTGAATAAATACAAAAAGCTCAAAGTCATTTCCACACAATGTTCATAAAATGAACAACAATGGTAGATTGGTAGATTTTATGAACATTGCGGAAATGACTTTGAGCTTTTTGTATTTATTTAACATTTCATTCCACTCTGAGCATTGTGGCAATTTCCTTGTTGTAAGGTTGTTGGTTACCCAGGATGTGAGTTCAGCAAGATTTTCATTGACAGCGTTGACCTGCCATCGTCGTGAGGTAGAGAGTATTATCATCAGCAACAGATCAATGATATGGAGTAGGTACAATAGTAGTGCCAAAATGAATCCTTGTGGATCTCCGGACTTGTTAGCTATGGTATCAGATGATACTCCGTCCCACCACGTCATGAAGAGATCTGATGATGGTAGTTTTGTGAAGATGTTCTTATTGATGCCAAACACGGTTGAATGTTCTCGATATATTATCTAACGCTACAGCAAGTAATTCCCCATGTAGTTTAATGAAGGTTACTATAAATGGGTAACATAGGTAAGTGAAATTCCAGTTGATACTCGATGGCCAAAGCCATATTGTCAATATTTAGTGATTCCAGAGCTTTCGAGATATTTGATGAGCACAATGTTGATCATAACAATTGCATTTCCGATAATACTTGAAATAATTTGCTGATGGTGGTGCACTGCTTGTGCAAAAATATTCGACTGAACGTGCTTTTTTTCTACAAACGTCAAAAAGTGACAAGGTTCGCGCATTGATAACAGTTTGTGAAGTGACACTTTTTTCAGTTTCCTACGTAACGACGACCCCATGTGCGGAGAAGTGCGTGAAGTAAAACGATGCGCGAAGTACATACTTCTCGCATTGTATAGGTGAACTATATACTTTTGTATTCAAACTTCGAGGACCTCAATCGAGCAAATATCCAAGTGATGATTCATTCCTTATAACAATAATTAAGGTCCTTTGAGCCAGTTCAACACTATTTCTTATCAAAGGAAAGAAGGAATGCTCGAAGTAATATCCACAAATTTCAATGGTGTTGTTGCACAATCGGAAGGGTCATGTTTCGGTCTTATATAACACCATCTCCAGCCTAATTGGAAGTTCTACAATACAAAACGATTGATGTGAAAGAATTACATACTTCTTTCTTGACGTACTTGGAATTGAAGGAATGTGATGCTACTAGTTATGAAATTGTTGTCACAACTAGTAGCAGCACATTTTCCAATTCCAAGTAAGTCAAGAACAAATTATGTAAATCATTAATAATTATGTGTCTTTATTCATCATCAATAAGGAAATTACACAAACAAATTAGAAATATGCGAGGAAATATGATACATTAAGATGATGAAAAGGAGAGGTTCAGCTATCAGAGCTGCTTTTACACCCATCCTCAATTCAAACCCATCCTCAAATCTTTCACATCAATCTTTTCGTATTGTAGAACTTTCAATCAGGTTGAAGATAGTATTTAATCAGACTGAAACAGGCCCCTTCTGATTGTGTAACAACACTATTAAAATCAGTGGAGATAACTTAGAGCATTCCTTCCTTCCTCTGAAAATTTTCACTCCACTTCGAGCAATATGGACTTCAACCAAAGACTATTTCTCATATTGAGCGAAGAATATTACTACATTGAAACATTCTTTTTCTGATGTTTGTACAAGGAATTTTGTTTGCAAAGTACTTTGGTCTTCTCGACTTTTTTCATAACTAGGCTGCGCTTCGTGATAAAAATCAGTACTCGATCACTAAAATACCATTTCGCGCACTAGATACAAAAATAACTATTGAAGCAACTAGAAAATTCAAATTATATGTTGTCGACTCATTTTCAATTTGAGAATATATGATCATGTGTCCCATAAACTCTGGGAACTCCAATGGTTAGATATGAGCAATTCCTCAAAATATTATTTCTTTAATTTCATTCACAAGTTGCTTAAGGATGAGAGAAAATAGTAGATTGTTTTATTAGGATCAAAAGTGACACTATGTTTGACAAGCGAATTTTGCATTTGCGAGGCGCAGCGTTTAGCGAAGCCGAGCGATAGCAAAATTCACGAGTCGAACAAAGTCACTTTTGATCCGAATGAAACATGCTATTTTTTCTGCAACCGAAACAATTAACTCAAATAAACATGTGAAGTAACCAATAATGCCGTGCCATATGTATGCAATGCAACAAATATTGACAAATGTAGTATTTGAATCTTGAAGGCTTCCCTGATCAAAACAAAAATACTCAACTGAGATGTTTATAATTCCAATACTAAACTATAATAAGGTGTATTCATATCTCCAGCATGGGTATGAAATGCCAAATCTGCTGAAATCGGAAACAAATCAGGTATGCGTCTCAACCCAGAAAACCAACCGTCACAATGTTGTTTATTCTTGATGACTTCCAGTAAATCATTTTTTGTTCCTAGGAGCTGAAGTTCAACTTTAGCTCCTAGGAACTAAAATTCAACTTTAGCTCCTAGGAACTAAATATGTTGCCTAGCAACATATTTATTTTTGTGACAGTAATAGAAACGTCAATTTAAGAGCTAATTTTGGTATCAAAATGGACGACTTTTGTGTCGGTTGCAGAAAAACTCATTTTCGCACAAAATGTCCATAATTTACATGTTAGACATCAGCTAAAATTAATAATGCCTCATCATACCACGTCTCTGTTTGAAAGAAGCTTCACATACAACTCGGTTATACTGTATAATTCATTACCAATAGAATTCAAACAATCACCATCGACGCAATTCCGTGAAAAAATTAAGAGCAATTTGTTGAATCATACTTTACATGTGAGACAATGAGTGAAAATGAAGATGTCAAGCTAGATTTAGGTTTTTAGGGTTAGTATTGGGATTAGGTTAAGTGTGAGAATAGTTTCCTAGTTAAACTTCGCCTGATGCACATACCACCTATGCCTCATGTTACTATGTAATATTCTTTTGAGGAAATGGAGACGGATTATTATTATTATAAGTATTATTTCCCGCAACTACTAATTTCTTTTCATCTTCAGGATTTCCAGACCCACCCTCCATTCCTAGCCCACCTGACCGCACGTACTCTTTTCGAAGACGATCGAGATTGGCGATCGGTGGGCCAATGGGGCTGCGGCGTCCCGACGGCGTTGTTGAGCGCCGGTCCCAGGCGGCTCGTCTGGAGGCCACGTGCCCGAAACGAAAGAGCTGCGTTTATGCACCTGGCGGGCGGCGAATGAATGGCGTATGTTTCAAACGAAGTCCGAAGAAAACTTCTACTAACTGGATTATTGCACTGAGGAGAATTTATATTATTCATAGTTATGAATCGGATTATCCCAGCAAGAAACTCTAATAGCATAGGGGACAAGCGAGATATCACCTGTGATTATGAAGTCAACTTTGCTGAACATAACTCACCTGCGATTATTAGATATAGAACCTTGCTGCACCTATATATTGCTATTAGGAAATTCAAAGAAGATATATACAAACCAACAGCTTGGCCAAGAAGAGTTGGTTTCAAACGTTTCGTTTTTCGTATATAAATACTGGGCCTACAATGATGGCAGGGCTGCGGATTTTGTATGAGTACCAAAAATACAACCCATGGTGATATCAATTCAGTAATATTCAGCCAAGAAGTACAAACGCCAGGAGCGGAATATAACTATGATAATTTATACAAACAAAGCATATTCCATCTCAACATGCATGGTTTCCTCTGCAATAAAGGTGGTGAGCTAGAGTTACTGTTACATATTCATGATGCAGACATTTGTTGTTTGTCAGATATTTGGCTTAGAAATAATGAAATCAATGTCCTCAGTTTGAATAAATATGTACTTGTCAATAACTGTGGATCTTATCTTGAACATGGAATCCATTGGCGAAGAATCCCGAAGCTTTGCCGGTCAATAGACGAACATGTTCAAGTAGAGTGTTGTTCATATTGCTAGTGATGGATTTATAGCAGAGATTCTGGGAAACATTTTCTGTGGAAGTATCTATAGAAAAGTCTAAGGTTCAGCGATGGATCGAACATGATTTTTTTAAGAGAGGGTCTTGATGACGATAATACCAAGCATAGATATATATAGGTTTTGGTAGAAATGATGGTATCAGACATTGTTATATCAGGCAAACTGAGTTTCGCGTTTCTTGAGGAAATAATGGCTCGAGTTTTGGTAGCGTTGAATTCAACTAGGTTGTTGGTTCCCCAAGCTTCAATTCCCGCAAGATCTCTATTGACAGCGTTCGCCTGCCTTCGTCGTTAGTTCTCAGTTTCCTGAAAAGAAATGGGGATTCTGGAAAAGAATGCAGTATGGAAAATACTATCGTCTGCAAAGCTGTAGATAGGGCAGGTTGGTGCCAAAATTAATTCCTGTACAACGCCAAATGTGATGGCCCTATTTTCTAACATTATTGAATCCTGAGCTTCCCATATATTTGATGAGTTCAATTATAATGGCTTCCTCCATCACCTTGAAGATAATTGAAAACAGGGCAATTGACAGGCTTCTGTTGCTTCTTATGGGGGATTGGTTGGACTCTGAGCTATTTTTCAGTTGTGCGTTGCCGAAAGACAATTCCTGGCATTCGACTTTCAACTGGTGGAATGTCTGGCGGCACTCTTCCCTGGGAATCCGAGGAGTTTTCTGCCAACATATCTGCAGAAATGTTCGCTTTCTGTTGCAATCTTGTTGCTAATGTGCCTAGGCTATAGGAGGTGGTGGAAACGAACTATTAGTGAAATTCCTTCCGACTGCTTCAGCAAGGAAACAAAACAAACGGGAGCCATGTGATAATAATTCAATACCCTGTACCTTATTTTATATGATAGTTGTTGATTGTTCTGACAGTACTTGTCAATCATACCTCAATTTGTAAACCCGTCTATGTTTTGCGGAATAAAGCCTACAAGTTGTGAAGGTTTACTACAATTTATTCCGCAAAACATAGACGGGTTTACAAATTAAGGTATGATTGACAAGTACTGTCAGAACAATCAACAACTATCATATAAAATAAAGTACAGGGTATTGAATTATTATCACATTCTCCCCCACTCAATTTGTATGCGACGATGCATCAAAATGTTGAGGAGATCGACGAAACCGTGTAGATCGACGAAGCTCGCTGTTCCGCGGAGGTTGAGGTTTTGTCTTCTTATCAGTATGTACAACATTTAAAACTCCTAAGCAAAGACTGCAATTTCAAGAAAGTTAGCATAGAGCAAAACAAATATGACTACATTCGAGATGCGTTCATAAAAGGATTATCATCGAACGAAATTCGTCAAAGATTGCTTGAGAACAATACTCTGAATCTACACCTTTTCCAATAGTAATTCAGAAAGCGTCAAATGCAGTTCAGATAATATCATTTGTAATTCAGATTAGTTGATTGAAATTCAGAAAATATCAAATGTAATTCAGAATTGTCGATTGATATTCCGAATGAGTCATTTGTAATTCAGATTAATCAACTGAAATTCAGAAAGCGTCAGTTAGAATTCAGAAAGCGCCAATTGGAATTCAGAAAGCGTCATTTATAATTCAGAATGTATCATTTGTAATTCAGAATGGGCCAGTTGTAATTCAGACTATGTCATTTGTATTTCAGAATAGTTGATTGAAATTCAGAAAGCATCATTTGTAATTCAGATTAGTCAATTGAATTTTAGGAAATATTGATTGTAATTCAGATTAGTCGATTGAAATTCAGAAAATAACAATTGTTATTCAGAAAACTCCATTTGTAATTCAGAAATATGGAACAGTGTTACCTCTGCATACATACCTACCTACAATCCATCATTATCAAATGTACCTACCTACTGTATATATCCTATTGTCCTGGAAACGAATATTCTAACTTGAAATAATCATACATCATCTCATTGAATATGAACTTCATAGCCAACTGTATGATTTTTCGTATTCCAATGACTCGAAATGCAGTTACAAGATTGCAGCCATGTAATCATTTTGTGCATACGAGGTGTGCTTCACCACTACGGAATGTGCCAGATGTTACTTGCCCACTATGCAGAGCAATTTTAACTGGACTTTTGGACGTATTGATCCATATATTTCATTGAAACGAATTATCCACAGGTTCTTTCATCAGGTATAAGAAACATATTCATCAAGATCGTGAAAGAATTGTGGAATGCGCAGAAAAGGGGGGATGACTGGGTAGCATTATCAGCATCATTAGGAATCAAATATAAGACCGCTTTTTATTGGGTTCGTTCAGGACGTAACAAAATGTTTCCCAGAGGAGGCATGAAACCTAAGATACTAGCTGAAGATCAAATAGATATAGTTATTTCATGGATTGAAGAAGACTGCGGCTTAACATTGAAGAAAGTAAAAGAAAAAATTAGAGAACATTTCCAAGTAGTTGTGGCATTGTCTACCATCGGAAATTATCTGGAAGGTAGATTGTTTTCAGTGAAACAAACACACAATGAGCCAATCACAATGATCAGTCCTGAGAATAAAAGAAAACGTGAGGTTTACGTTCAAGCTCTCAACCAATTCATCCGTGACGGCAAACAAATTAGTTGGATTGACGAAACAAATTTTAATTTATTTTGCCGTCGAACAAAGGGACGTTCTAAGACTGGAGCCAGAGCTGTACAACAGATACCGGCTGCAAGAGGACCCAATGTACATCTCATTGGGGCAATTTCGGCAGCAGGGGTAGTAACTATGGAAAGAAGGAGAGGATCTTTCTGAATTCCAATTGACTAATCTGAATTACAATTGACGATATCTGAATTTCTATTGATGCTTTCTGAATTTCATTTGACAAATCTGAATTACAATTGAAGTTTTCTGAATTTCACTTGACTAATCTGAATTTCAATTGATATTTTCTTAATTTCAAGTAACTCATCTGAATTACAAATAACGTAGTTTGAATTACAATTGACGCATTCTGAATTACAAATGACGATATCTGAATTTCAATTGACACATTCTGAATTTCAATTGAAAAATCTGAAATACCACTGATATTTTCCAAATTTCAGTTGACTAATCTGAATTACGATTGATATTTTCTGAATTTCGATTGACTAATCTGAATTATAACTGACGTTTTCTGAATTTCATTTGAGAAAACTGAATTACAATTGACGCTTTCTGAAATACATCTGGAAAAGATGTAGACGAGGCTATTTCTCAATCACGATCCTTAGAAGATGCACGCAAGCACTCTGAAGCATTCACTTCCAGCTATAGCGCTCTCAATGCTGCCCCGCCATAGAAACTGACGAACAAAATCAGTTTCATTCTGAACTCATGTCTTTCTCAGCTTCTGCTCAAAAATGTTATTTTTGTGGAGGTGCTAAACATTCGCGTGCTGTATGCCCTGCTCGAGATGCCATCTGTAACTACTGTAAAAAAAATGGACATTTTTCTAAAGTATGCATGAAAAGTAAGAATTCCAAATCAAGATCAACCACAGCTTCGATATCCCTCCTCGCTTCGGCAAGTCCAACGTTTCCACAAAGTTTGCATAAAAGTTTTCTTGAAGAAACATGTTCGGCTGGGCAAGTATGACCCTCTTGTTGAAGAAGTAGAAGTTATCGAGGTTAATCCTAAATACGCTTTAATACGTCATGGGAACGGGAAAGAATCCACTGTGTCTCTGAAACATTTAGCTCCAAGGGGAAACATTGGATTATTAGAAGACGAAGATAATGATTCCGATATATCCCCAGAAGAAGACAAAACCTCAACCTCCGCGGAACAGCCTGAGCTTCGTCGATCTACACGGTTTCGTCGATCTCCTCAACATTTTGATGCATCGTCGCATACAAATTGAGTGGTGGAGAATGTGATAATAATTCAATACCCTGTACTTTATTTCATATGATAGTTATTGATTGTTCTGACAGTACTTGTCAATCATACCTTAATTTGTAAACCCGTCTATGTTTTGCGGAATAAAGCCTACAAGTTGTAAAGGTTTACTACAAGCCATTGGGACAATCTATGAGTTTTATTCTCATTTTGGTATATATGGTATGTTGCAGCAGGATTTCAAAAGCTCGAGAAAGATACCATTCCAAAATAACAATCTCATGTAAACATATATGAGTACAAGTAGAAACACGTATTCCGATATACAGGAGTGATGATATTTCCATATTTCTTGTTGTGCTCAGTTTCATTTACGGATGTCATGAAAGCTCTCGATCATTTCGGGTCTTCTATAGTCAATT